TGTCTACCTGTCTACCTTAGCTGGAAGTCTGGAAGTCCTGTTATGTGGTGGGTGTCCTGTCCATCCATGTATGTAGATCTTACTAATGGACACCATGATTTCAACAGAAGTAATGACCACCCAAGTTTTGTTTAGTTTCTAAATTCTCCTGAGGAGCTGGGCTCGGTGGCTCAGCCTGTAATCCCACGCCTTTGGGAGGCTGAGGTGAGTGGATTGCCTGAGCCCGCAGGTTCGAGACCCGCCTGGGCAGCAAGACCTCATCTCTACAATAAATAAAAAAATCAGCTGGGCGTGGTAGCGTGCGCCTGTAATTCCGGCTACTGGGAAGGTTGAGGTGGAAGGATTGCCGGAGCCCAGCAGATCGAGGCTGTGGTGGCCGGGAGCGGCCACTGCACTCCAATCTGGGCAACAGAGTGAGACTCCAACTCAAAAAAAATAAAAAATAAAAAATAAATTCTCCTGAGGGGCTGGAAACAATACAAATGTAGGAGTAAGAGTAGCAGGTTGCTAATAACATGTGGAGATATCTACTATTTGATGAAAGGCATTTCTCTTAAAATACATCATTGACTCTGTTTGGATCACTTGCCAGTTATAGTTTTCCCATGATCAGCATTGGGGCTGGGTGGCTCCAGAAACCATCCGTTTTCAGCCCATTCTACTGGTGAAGAAACTGAGGCCAGCAGGGTCTAGGTGGGGCAGAGTCTCCAAAGCTAATAGGGATGAGAGCTCTTGGATGCCTGTGTGAGGCTGAGAGCTGCCCACTCCCTGCCTCTGGGGTGAGAATCCTGAGATGGATTCTCAGGGGACCCCTACCAGTCCTGTGGCCTTCTGTTCAGGGACAGCAGGTGTCTGCAGTGTCCTTCTGGAAATACCCTGGCTAGTAGAAAACAGGCATCCTCAAGTTCTCTGCTCATCTTACTGAAAAAAAGGCAGCAACATCAAATTCCTAGCCAGTATTTAGAGTGTGTGGTTGTCATCTCGATGTTTGAATTCAGAGCTCCAACCGGGGGGTCAGAGCATTTATTTTTTGAACTGGTATTTATTGAGTTCCTGCTATGTGCCCGATGCCATTCCACACACTGGGGACGACTGTGTGGACCCACTGGGGACCCATCAGGAAACATGACTGACAGGTGTCCTGCTGGCCAGGTACTCAGGCCAGAGGCGAGGCTGACAGTGAACAAAAACTAACAGAGGATATGGTCAGATTTCAGGTACCAGCCAACGCCATGCTGAGTTGCAGAGGGTGCCATGGGGAAATGGCTGCACTGTGGTGAGGGACTCATTTGTTTGGAGTGGACAGAGCATCCCAGGGGAGGGAGGAGCTGGTGTAAAGACCCCGAGGAGATCAGACTCTGAGTTTGATGTGTTCACAGAACAGCACAGAGGCCGCAGTGACTGGGCCGGGGGCTGGGGCCAGAGGTGCCCAGGAGGGAGGAAGAGGGAGGCTCGGAAGGTTCGTTCTAGAAATGTTGGTGGGTAATTTACTCCCATCTGGTGTTCAGTCACTTAAAGCCATCAAGAGTGGATTGGAGGCCCCACACCACTGTCCAAGCTCCCCCACTTATGTGATGACTGCTCCTCCCCTCTCTGGTTCCCCTCTGTGGCTCTAATGGCTGTACATCTGCCCTGGCCATGGCCCCAGCGCGGTTCCACATTCTGCGTCAGAGAGCTCAGTCCCTCATGCCTGAGTCACCTGTGCTCCCAAGGGAGGATGCGTGACCAGGGCCGCGTCCCCGAGCCACACACCACACGCCGCTGCTCAGCCTGGCAGCACCGCTGGGAGATTAAACCCATGTGCTTAGAGCAAGGCAGAGAAATAACTTCTTTGGATAACCAGCATCTGGTAGTTAATGGGCCTCTGAGAGCCGTATACAATTTAAACTTTTTATTTAAAAAAAAAAAAGCTCATTTGCTCTCCTGGGAGCTGTGCTGTGAAATTATCAGCTGCATGGGCTGCTCCCCACTTCTTAAATGTAACTAAACACACAACAGAGAACATTAATTTTGTCTTGCTTTGAGCAGGACTCTGGGTTTTTCTCTCCCCTCTGGGTGAAAGCTGTCCCGAGTTTTGTGCAGAGGCATTAAGGTCAGAAGCAAAGACTGGGATGCCTGGTGTCCATAGGCCTCTGACCCTGTTCCCAGAGAGTGTCCTCAGCCTCTAAAGTACCCCCCTTCCTTCATTAGCCTAGAGTCTGACCTCCTGCCCAGGAGAAAGGGACCAGGGTGCTTTCATTGCCTTCATGCTTCCTTCCTGTGTCAGCTGTCCCCATGCCAAGAAGCCCAGCAAGGGGTGGCAGCCAAGTCCCAGTGAGGGAGTCTTGAAGCTTCTCTCTGGCGCCACATACCCCTTCTAATGTGTGATGGAGCATGCTGGGTTCCCTAAACACAGTTGAGGAGCCCTGTACCCACCGGGAGCCAGGAGGACACCCCTGTCCCGAGGGCAGCCACACAGAGGGATCTCTCTATTTGCTGCAATTTGGACACCGGGTTTTACTCACGGTGTGTGACTTCAGGCAAGCCCCTTGTCCTCTCTGAGCCTCAGTGTCCTCGCCTGCTAGATGCGGGGACTCGTACACCTTTAATTGGACCCAGCTGGGCCTCCCAAGTGACACCGTGCCTGGCATGCGGCCTGTTCACAGGTCTCTGTGTGGAATTGGCCATGTTTACTGAGGGTCTTTCTACCATGCCCCTGACCCTCCTGGAAAGATCTCAGTGAGTGAGCCAGAGCCCTTTCCGTATCCCATGGAGCTCACATTCTAGGCAGGGGATAAGCGTAAGCACATAAGACCCATCAAGACACAGAAAGAAGGCCAATGGGGCCAGGGCTTGGGCAGGCAGGGACAGACACTGTGGGCAGCAGTGAACCAGACGCAGGGATCTTGTTCTGGGGCAGGGGGAGTCCCTGGGGAGTTTTCAGCAGGGCAGACAGTGGTATGAGACGAGCCTGGGAGAACTGGGGTCTACTGGTGAAATTCTCTGGAAGACACTCCGCTTCCTTTCTTTAGAACCATCATCCCCTTGGTTGACTTAAAAAACCCACAAGAACATTTTTCAGGTTGTTTAATTTTATTAAAAAAATCAAATTTGATGATAAATGGTGGCGTGGTTGCTTCTAGCCTCGGATACAAGAACTACTCATCTGTGGACACATCATCAAGACCCACCATCAGCCCCACCTGGAACTCCCCCCACCCCAATATCAAGACCTGCCCTTTGGTAAATACGCCAGGAACACTCGTGGCTCTCTGAGACCTCGAGAATATTAGCTTGGTGTTTTTTGTTTGTTTGTTTGTTTGAAGAAGAATGGGTAATAAGTTAGAGAAATTTCAGCAGGCCGATGGAGGCCTACATGGTCTCAGGGAGAACAAGGGCTTCCCTCTGAAAGCATCATCAGCCTCACAGACAGTTGCTCAAGATCTGTGTTAAGAGCTGAGATCGAGAGGGAAACGGGGAGGATGGAGGGGGTGAGCCACCGGCCTGCAGTCCTGACCTAAGCCCACCGGGATGCCAGTTAATTTCCAAGTGTGCAGATGAGGTCTGGGGCACACAGGCAGGGTCCTAGGGAGGCCCAGCCCATCCCTCCTGTGAGGATAGCCCCCTCCCAGCACGGACACCCGTACATTAGGTCATGGTGTGGAGGCTGGGCGAGACAGGCTGTGCAGCACCACGTCTCCAGGGGTAGCCTGGAGACCCAACCTCCACATCTGGGGGGCCCAGAGACACACATTCAGAGGTTCACTCCCCCTCTGTCATTCAAGCACAGTGGATCTTGGAGACAAAACGGTTGTGCAGGGCTAATGGCAAAGCATGTCGTGTCACCGCTATCCTTAGTATGAATTACTTTCCAGAGGCTGGAAGTGCTGCTTCCCTCCAAAGACCTGCCCCCAGCTGCTAGCCCGGTGCACACGGTGGTCCTGGGGCTTGGGGGGCCAAAGCCCACTGGGGAGGCCGTGCTCCCTGCCCAGATGGCACTCTCCACACTCACATGCTGGCCGGGGAGGACTGGATGTATCTGCATGCAGTGTGGATAGCTTGAGGTCTGACTCGCAGAAGCACCAGCAGATGCAGACACCAGCAGTCAAGACTCAGAAAGCTGCCCCAAGAGACAAACTCTTTGCCAGAAAGCTGAGAAGTACCGAGAGCTTGGAGCAGCATCTTTAATGCATGGCCCCGCTTTGAGTGGGTTGCTAAATGAGATGCCACATGCAAATTAAGGATCTTTAAACAACCACCTACAGGCTTGGCAGGACAGCAGGCGTCATCCCCAAGGCAGAGCCTTGGGGTGTCCTCTCGCACCCATCCTCCCAGAATCCCAGGATGCAGGGAGAGGAGGGTGGGGGGCTGTGAATGGAGGGGTTCCCCGACCAGCGCCTGTCGGTGAGCTACCCATGAGAAGGAATGTGCAGGACCGGGAGTGATGATCTAGACAGAAGCTCACACAGCAATGAACATTGCTGCCATGTCCATGTGCATGGCCAGTGGCCCCAGGTCACGGGACATGGCATGGACTTTGCAGGTGATATGAGCTCATGGGCAAGCCTGGGACACGGGCTGGGCTTAGAAGCATGGCTCCTCCCTACAGATCGCTTGAGGGGCCCACTGCTGGGCGGGAAACCTCAGGGCCAGAATGGTTTCCAGAAAAGCCATCTTTTTTTTTTTTTGAGATAGGTTCTCACTCTGTCTGTGTCACCCAGGTTGGAGTGCAGGGGTGCAATCATAGCTCATGGCAGGCAGCCTCGAATTCCTGGGCCCAAAAGATCTGCCTCAGGCTTCCAAGTAGCTGGAACCACAGGCACACACCACCATGCCTGGTTAATTTTTTTTTAATTTATTTTTTGTAGAGACGGGGTCTTGCTATGTGGCCCAGGATGATCTCAAACTCCTGGGCTCAAGCAGTCCTCCCACCTTGGCATACCAAAGCCCTGGGATGACAGGCACGAATCATCACATCCGGCCTCAGAAAAACCATCTTGACGTCAAGACCAATGTCACAGTCACTCAAGGAAGGCCAATCCTAGGACCAGGAGCAGAAGGGGCAGGGGGACAGCATGAGGACCTCCAGCGCGGGGAGCCATCTGCAGCGGAGGCCTGGAGAGGTTCTGGGCCTCCCCCCCACAGAGCACCAGGGGCGCTTGGTAGGAGGTGGGACGCTTCTCGGGGATGTCGGGACTCGACCCATCAGTCGGCCTTTGTCCTATAAAGAGGAGGCTTTGCCCGAGGGAGTCTTGCTCCATCTTGAACAGCTCATACTCCACGTGAGGAAGGCGGATGCCCAGCGGCAGGCACCCGTTGGTGGCTGTGACGTCCCGCTCGGTGCCCACGGACCAGGCCCCGGGGCCCCCACAGCTGCTTGGCTCAGAGAAGTTGAGCATAGCCGTAGTGACCTGGTCCATGGGGGTCACGTGGGCCCGCGTGACCTCGAACACCAGCTCGGTGCCGCCACGGACCCTGGTGGATGGCATGCCCCTGGTGTAGTGGCCGGCCGCGTACACGGTGAAGGTGGGCTGGCGGCAGTTGGGGTCTGAGAAGTGGTGGTAATACCCCTCCCAGGAGCGGCTGTGCCCGTGGAAGGTGAAGAGTCGGGTGAGGAACAGGACAGCTGGGCGCACCTCGCAGCCTGAGCTGACCCACCAGCCGCCCAGGCGCAGGGGCAGGGCCAGCGGGGGTGGCAGCTCGGGTGGGTGGTGCACGTTGGCACGGGCAATGAGGCCACAGGCCGGGCAGGGCCGCGCGTGGTGCTGGCAAAATAAGCAGAAGAATGGTGGTGCTCCAGGGGCAGCCTTTGCAGGGAACCCCGGCTCGGGACCGACGACAAGACACAGAAGCCCTCCCGTCTCTCCCTCACTGCTCTCCCTCACTGCCTGCCTCCCGCTACCAAGGCACCTTCGCTGCTCGCTACTTGTGCCTCCAGGTAAGCAGTCCCTCCCCAGGGTCTCAGCACCTGCTCCTCTTCCACCTGGAACTCCAGCCAGCTCCTTCTCAATGCCTTAGGTCCCAGCCCCAGAGAGACCATTCCCGACTACGCCATGTAAAGTGGGCTTTGGGGCTATCACATCACCCTCTTCTTTTTGAGACATTTTTTAGAAACAGGGTCTGGCTCCACCACCCAGGCCGGAATGCAGTCACACGATCATATCTCACTGCAGCCTTCAACCCCTGGGCTCAAGCAATCCTCCTGCCTCAGCCTCCAGAGTAGCTGGGACTATAGGTGCCATCGCCACACCAGGCTAATTTATTTTTGGGGATCTGGCTATGTTGCCCAGGCTGGTCTCGAACTCCTGGGCTGAAGGGATCCTCTTGCCTCTGCCTCTCAAAGCACTGGGATTATAGGTGTGAGCCACCGAACCCAGCCCCTCTCTTATTTTCCTCTCAGGTGTACCATTCTCCTGTATTTTCTCTTCTCTCCACACCTCCTCCTTCATCAGATAGTAAGTTCTAGAAAGCCAGGACTATCTCTGTGGCTACTGGATTCCCAGAGTCTGGCACAGTGCGTGGCTCACAAATTTGTGCAAAATATGACATGAAATATTAGTATAGTATTTAGTATGAATTATTATTAGTATTTAGTATGAGTTAGTATTCATATTGAAAATGAATAAATGAGAAATAAATGGACATATGCCTTGGGACCTGAAAGAAGCTGTCATTTCTCATGCCTAGACTGCTGGGTCCTGGAATTCGATTGTTAATGTTTGTCTTTGTCCCTGTTCATTGCTACTGTGTCCTCAGCCTTCCAGGCTCTTCCTAAGCACCACAAGCTGTGCAAAGCGTTCCACGTGAGGGAGCTGAGACTTGGAGGGCCAGCTGGCCTGCCTCGGCTGTCTGGCCTGGAAGTGAAAGGCAGCCTGGTTTAAGCTTGGCCTGTCCGAGACCTGTGTGTTCTTTGTGGGAAGCCTCAGGTGCATCTTCCCTACAAGGTGAGAATGGAGGTTTCTATCTTCAGGAATCTAGTGGTGGAAGGTGAGCATCCATCATCCCATGCCCCTGGAAAGTGGATACGGGAACAGGGATAAAAGCCCACCACCATTCCCAGGCCTTTGGAAGTCCATTGCTAGGAGTGTGGGCCAAGGAGATCACTGGAAAGTCATGAAGAGCATGCAGCCCAAAGATGTTCACTCCAGTGTTATTTATGATGGGGAAAACCAGCCCCCCTCGAGTCTTCAGATGTAACCATGGCCCTCAGTCACTCCAGGCTGGTTTTCCTCTATGGTTGGCCTAATTAACCCTTGTCCCCTGGCCCTACCCTGCAAATTCTCATAAGCTGGGCTTACAGTAAAACAGATCAACAGGAAACAGACACAAAACCAAATTGCGTGGGAGGAGTCAGCCTGCATCTTGGAGTTTTCTCGAAAAGGCTCAGGAGAGGCTAAAAAGGAACCAGATACAGATATATTCCAGGGGCACCAGAAAATGTACACACATTTTAAGAGATGTTGTCTGTGGATTACTTTTAGTTCACCATAATCAGAAGTGTCTGGAAGCTGATGGTAACCACTTTGAGCATCTCTTGTAATTGCAAAGTCAAACGTGACTTGTATTCATCTTTTGTTATTGGTCTGTATTGAGAATTATTATTTTAATACTTTTTTTTCCTTCTTAAGATGTGTATACATTTTTTTTGCCTCTCTTCTTTCTCTCTCCTCTCTCTCTCTCTTGCTTTCTCTCAATGTAAATATATAAAAGGAGCTGCAGCCCAGAATTTAGTCCAGAGTGTCATTCTGAAAGGTAGATGGCTTTGCAATAGCTACTTGTCAGAGCTGATGTGCTCTTGCCATCCCAGAAGAAAACTTAAGGTCAGGGGTCCAAGCAGGATAGGCGAGGGAAGGGGGCCCAGCCAGGAAATTGGCTCCAACATATTATTTTCTTGCAACCCGCCCCCACATTTCCACACATCACTGATGGGTGAGTTCCATGACAAACAAGTGGTGATTGGGAGTTCTGGTTTAGAAAGAAAATATTGGATGATTGAGGACAGTGTTTTTTTGGTGGGGGATTGTCACATTTTATAAGTTCTTATGATGAACCTAAACTTTCCTTAATTCCCATATTATAGAAGACTATATATTTTTTTGGTTTGAAGGATTTTGACTCAGAGAACTCAAGGTGCTCTGAAATTCTAGCAAATGGCTGCAAAAAATGCTTGTAACTAGAGCAAGCAAGCTCCGTGGTTGGCTGGAGAGTCAGTAACTGGGATGCCAACTGATGAGTCTACTCTGATTTAGCCCACATTCTGACTGTTATCATACTAATGTGTATTGACAGGACATAATGTATGACATCAAAATAATCCCAGCACTGCCCTTTCCACCACAAGCCGAAAACTCAAAAGGCTATTATCTGCAGAGAGGACACTGGGGAGGCTAGTTGGTAATTTGGGGCAGCTGGTTTTCGGTATAACAGAAACAAACTGAGAACCAGCAAGTTTTTAGGGTGACACTGGGGAGAGAAAGGGCACTGCCTTCTCCAATGCTTTTGAAGGTGGTGAAGTAAGCTCCCTGTGTCCATGAAAAATCTTCCCGGCATCTTTCTGCAGAGATTTGGAGTCGCACGTGTTAATCAACAATGCCCCCAGCCAGCCGAATTCACACTTGTGCAGAAGCCAAACTCCTACTGGCTTAAGCCTGTTACATAAAGTTATTTCTCAAACAGCACATAACAGTTTCTAATTAACCCCCAGAGGTGACACCAGAGACAAGCTCAGATGATTTTGGTCGAGTGTTGGCTGATTGATTAGGATTCTATATCCAGGCAATGAATTTGGGGATCAAATTGGTTTTAAATTAACTTCTAAAAATGTTCATGTTTACCATCTGGTTTGGGCTGTGGGCAAGGCTTGAGCCCTGGAGAGCGCGAGGTAACAACTAATTCGTTATTTGGGGATTTATCTACAGCATTTCCTTCTTTGAAATTATCTTGCTTTATTTTTTTCCCAAGAAGGGGGGCAGTTGGTGAGCGGACATTTAATTTAATGTCTGTACATCTGGCACTGCTGGTCTCTGCATACATTTCTGTGTGTTTTGCTTCTCAATCACATTTCAGGCTGCCCAAGCAGCAGGGAGGGCAGGGACAGCAATGGCCCAGAGCCCTGCCTGGGGACGTATGAAATTGTCAGCCCCCATACCACCCCCTGGGACCTGTCCTCTCCCCCCTTCTAATGAGGTAGTGGAGCTGGTAATCAACTCACCACCAGTGCCTTCTCTCCTCTAAGCAGGATTAATGCCAGGCCAGACTAGAACATTGGCTGCCAAAATGGGGAATAATTTTGAGGTCATAAAAAGAACTCTGAGGCTGATTTCTGATTATGAGAACGTCTTGTCGTCCTCCTTCTCTGCTGCCTGGATCGTGGGTTTGGAGGAGGCGGGGGGAGAAGGAGAGGAAGGCAGATGGGCATCAGGTCTGTCTTATCCCCAGTGCTTTCCCCTTGAGGCTTTGACAAGTGGCTGCTCCCAGGGATGAGGATTTGCCCCACCTAGTTTAGTACCTTGAGTGTCTAGTATGCAGTAGGCACTAAATACATGCTGAATGATATGAGGATGGCCTAAGGGCTCAGAGTACTCAATAGGGATGCTGAACTCATCCATCCATCCACCCATTCATCTACCATCCACCCATCTACCCAACCATCCATTGATCTACCATCCACCCATCTACCCATCTATCCATCCATCCATCCATTCATCTATTCATCCATCTATCATCCATTCAACTGCCATCCATCCATCTACCCATCCAGCTATCCATCCACCCACTCATCTACCAAACATCCATCTAGCCATTCATCTACCATCCATCCTTTCATCAATCCATTTATCTACCATCCACCAATCCACCCATCCATCCATTCACCTACCATTCACTCACTCATCAATTCATCTCCCATCCATCCATTCATCCATCCATTCATCTACCATCCGCCCATCCATCCATCCACCCATCTATTCATCCATCCATCCACTCATCTACCATCCGCCCATCCACTCATCCACCCATTCATCTATCATCCATCTACTAATCCATCCATTCATTTACCATCCATCCATCCATCCATTCATTTATCTACAATCCACCCATCCATCCCTTCATCTGCCATTCATCCATCCATTCATTTATACACCATCCATCCATCCATTCATTTATCATCCATCCATCCATCCATCCATTCATTTATCTACAATCCATCCATCCATCCCTCATCTACCATCCACCCATCCATTCATTTATCCACCATCCATTCATCCACTCATTTATCCACCATCCATCCATCCATCCATCCATCCATCCATCTACCATCCATCCTTCTATCCACTCATTTATCTACCATCCATCCATCCACCTATCCATCCATCATCCATCCATTCATTCTCACTCTCAAAATATATTCATTAGATGTCTCCCACAGAAGTTCTTCACTTAGAGCCCTACCCTCAACTTAATTTCCACTAACCCTTAACTAGTAAAAGAGAAAACTTCTTCTAATTGTGACTGTAGACAACAAACCCAGTAGCATCAGCAGAACCTCTGATTGTGTTGCCAGTGTCACACCAGCAGTTTGCAGATCCTGGAAACATTGCTTATACTCACTGCTGCTTTGAAATAAGGACGACAATGGATAGGATATTCATAGTATTCCTATTTCACAAGTTGATGTTTTAAGACTTGGGTTACCATTTTAATAGAATTGGTTTCCACATATTTTATCTTATGCTTTTAAAAAACAATTTTTTGGAGGAGGAGTCCTTAGGCTTCATAAGCCACCAGAGGGATTTCTGATACTGAAGAGGTCACAAGTCTCCACCCTTGCCCCAGCCAGGCTCTGAGCTATGTGCCAGAAGGATGATACACAGATGAAGTGAAGTTTCTTTCTGCCTGTTTACCCATCAGGAAGAAAAAAGTCACCAGACTGTCTGCATTTAGGACAGTATGTTTGTGATGGCTTCATTCAAAATCTAGGATAATCAGCTTAAGTGAAATTCACTTTGGAGTCTGGGAGGAGCATCTCAAAGAGCGGCAGTTCCCTTAGACTAGAGTCTCCCCACTTACCTAGGAGCCTGTTAGAAGCGCAGAACTCCAGGCCCCACATCAGACCCGCTAGATCTGACTCTGCACCCTAACAAGATGCCCAGGCAATGTGGTGTTGGACTTTAGCATGGGGGCCGCACTTGATGGTTCTGCTTCCAGTTCACCCCGAGATCTCTGGACAGGTGTGCAGCAGCCCCAGTGGAGCCCTAGAGGAGGGCCGCCCTCTTCCTAATTCATCACCCACGTATATTGGTCCCATTGTGTGCCAGGCCCATGCTAGGTGGCCACGGTGACCCCGCCCTGGTGGAAGGGCTGGCATGGAGGAGCAAACAGATCAACTCCAGGCTGTGCTGAGTGCTGGCAAGGTCAGCATGGGAATTATGTAGTGTGGGGACTGGAAGGGACTTTTCAACTTGGGGGAAGGAAGCCTGCCCAGGCCCATGTGCTCAGCAAGGGCAGGAACGGGATCCTGCCGAGCCCATGAGGACCATATCTGGGGGATGTGGGCTGGGGAGGATCAGACTGGCAAGGCCAACCAGCGTTTCCTTCCAGAGAAAGCCAGTCAGCCTTGTCAAGGCCTGAGAAAAGATGACAAGGCCTATGCAAATGTTCCGAGGCAAGCAGGCCAGAGTTGGGGTGGGGGGCATTGACAGGAACAGGGCAGAAAGGGCCCCAGGGAGGGACCAGATCACATTGGGCCTGCTGGGCTGGGGCTCTGAGTTCGCCCGCCCTCTCAGGGGCCCCGCACTCACCAGGGCGCTCTGCAGCGGGCGCTGGTATCCGGTGGGCCGGTAGTGCTGCCTCTCTGCCCGGTCGGTGTGGATGTCCCCCAGGAACAGCTCTTCCACCAGCTGGGGCACGGCCCGGGGCTGTGGCTGCAGGCGGCGCTGCACGCGGACCAGGCTGAGCTCGTGCATGGTGAAGCCCAGGGCCGCCACGCAGTCCCCCTCAGCCCTGGTGTCCAGCAGCTCGTACAGCGCCCCAGGGAGCCAGGCCCGGGCCGGGGGCAGCCGCCGCGCACAGTCCTGGCCAGCCTGGGTCTGGTTGAGGCGCCCAGTGACATCCAGCAGGGCTCGGTGGCTGTGGAAGACGATGCCCACCTTGTGCAGGTGGTAATCAGCCTCAGTGGCGCCCCGGGTGACCCAGGAGGCCCGGCGCAGGCGGACCTTGCCCTTGACCAGCAGCGAGTGAGCAGGCTCCTGGCAGAAGGGGTCTTCGTAGTAGAACTGGTAGGCGCGGAAGAGGCGGCTGGGGTGGAAGGTGTAGGAGCGGGTGAGGAACTCCGGTCCGGGGCGCACCTCACAGCTGCCGGGGTGGAAGGAGGCGGGGGTGGGTAGAAAGTGAGCACTGACATTGTGAGCCCCTCTCTTGTCTGAGCTGGACTCCTGCCCATTCCCCCTCCCCAGCCTCTATTTCAGGCCTCAACTCAGGCCTGCACCCCTATAGCCTCAGTTTCCCTGATTGCACTCAGTCAGCTCCACCTTTGGGGCTGGGGCCTTTCACTCAAAGCCTTATGGCCTCAACAAAAAGCCTTCTAGCTTTTTTCCCCTTCATTCTGTTCTAACTTCCCTGACTGGGGGCTCCCTTGCAACCTTTTGGAGACCTCCATGCTGTGAGCTCTGGGAGGCTTTTGTCTGCTTCCTTCCTCATGGATTCCTGGCACCTGGCACCTGGCCCAGGGCTGGCCCCCGCCCATCCCCCCCCACTTCCCTCCCATCCTTGCCAAATAATGGCGGGCTGGAGGAGCCAGTGAAGCAAGAATGATGGGCCTTCCGTTCTGTCTCCCTTCCTCAGGTTGACTTCCCTGAGCCAGCTTCATCTGTGTCTGTGGCAAGCCTTGTTGATCTTACCCAACGGTCAGCAAACTTTCTGTAAAGGGTAGGGTGATAGTTTTTGTTTTTCTGAGCCAGATGGTTTCTGTTGCAATGACTCGAAGTGGTGACTGTAGCACCAAGGCAGCTATGGGGGATATGTAAATGAATGGGCATGGTTGTGTGCCAATAAAACTTTATTTGTAAAAACAGGAAGTGGAGCCGGGCTCCGTGGCTCAGCCTGTAATCCCGCGCCTTTGGGAGGCTGAAGTGAGTGGATTGCCTGAGCCCGCAGGTTCAAGACCCGCCTGGGCAGCAAGACCTCATCTCTACAATAAATCAAAAACTCAGCCGGGCAT